GGAAGATCCTCTTTTGCCTTTACCACTCCAAGAAGCAGAGCTTTAAGCAACTACCACAATCACAGCAAAATAGCAGTCCCGGCTATGCGCACCCAGAAAGTGCGCCGTGACTCAGAGTTTCCCATTTTCATTTTCTGACTAATCACTGAGAGAAAAAGCATTTCAGTACCAGTGATGGCAGAAACTGTATAAATACCTCTCCAAGCTCCAGGTTTTCCCACTGAAAAGCAGTGGATCTCAGAGTCTGTTTTTATGTGGGCATTGGCATATTTAAATTACTGCAATTACAAGCAGTCAATGAGGTTAATACGGATGAAGTAAGAGCCGTAAGAACATCTATCCATTCGTTCTTCCTATCTCTCTCCAATTCTTTCCTAAAGTCTTTAGTGTTTAAAAGGAAAGTAGGAAAAAAAAGGGAAGGGGAGGGGAGAGATCCTGCTATTTCTACTTCTTATTGAATTAGTACTAGTCAATTAGTGTTTTTAATTGAAACTATACCAAACGGAAACAATTAAAAATAATAATTATACAAAGCAGCTGTATAAGGCTTTTCATCTTTGGAGTGCTTTGCAAACACTAACGCATTAATTCAAACTAAGACATAAAACTAAAGAAGCAAAACTAAAGATAATGAGAGGAAGGTTAAGTGACAGATCACTGATTTTTACCAGCATGCGCTGCAAGTTATAGTAATGAGGAACCTGCTGTATCAGTGTCGATGCCTTTGCCTGACACTACACATACCCACATGAACTGAAGCGATGCCACTTCAAAACTTTACTGCAACACAACAATATTCCTTTAAGCACGTTACTAATGGGCTCCTTCAAAACTGCCCTTCATTCCTTTCCAACTGCTGTGCTACCAGGCGAAACAGAGCCTGCTCCTGCAGCACACACTTGGCCAAAATACCTGCTACCAAACTGCTGATGAGCAATTGAAGACTTGCATCTTTCACCATCATCCTAACAAGTGTTATCCCTATGTACCAATAACATGATTCACGACTTCATTTTATTTGCAAGCTACTTGTCCCTCTGAGCAGACTATCAAAAGGGGGAAAACCAAGATTAGAGCTATGGGACTTATTAATGGTAAAAACTTACATTTATTGACACACTCAAGTGAAAGCCAAAAGCAATGGCATCATATCCTGCCATTTAATTGACCCCAAAATTTCTAGAAATAAAATCCGAGAGGTGAACAGAAGAAGCAGTTATTGGAAGTGGAGCAAGCTGAATAATGTAAGTAGCAGCTCAGTTTATTTGCATGTAAGTTCCTAAGTTTATTTGTATATTGTAGCTACATGCATTACAACTTTACTCATTTTCTAGGTTGAATCAGAGCAGTGCATAAAAATTCTGCAGAATAACTTCCATTACAGGTTGGAAACATCTTTAACAAAGTGTCCAAAATACGTAGAGAAATAAATACATAAAAAAATCAAGTCTGCAGTGTTTTTAAAAGGAAAAAAAATGCTATCCATATAAACCTTATGCATATAGTCTGCAAACTCCTAAGTAGGAGCAGAGGAAAACAAGGGGGGAAGAGAATGGAAAAGAAAACAATCGTCAATGTTTTCCAGCACATCAGTTTGTTCATGATTCCCACATAATTGCTTATTTACTGAGAGCTTGTAAAGTAGTACTGTCTCCTGGGGGAGCCCAGGCTCAATCGCACTTGTTAAAATGTACTGGAAGAAAACAACCTGCTACCCTTCTCCGGTGCTCCTTCCTTTCATCCCATTTCTGAGCACACAAATGGAGGAAGCATCAAGCTCTTAATTATCCTCTAGTATACATAAGCTGGTATTGCAAACACTCCATTCACTAGAGTTGAGTACAGTATCATCAGAGCAACCTCTCAGACATCTCCTCTTTTCTGCATTGTGCTGCATTCTTCAGATATATCTGAATAAGAAAAGATATGAACGACGATAATGAATAATTCATGCACTCTTTCAGGCTTCCCCCTCCCCTCCATATTTTCAATAAGATAAAAAATAAAGATACTTTCTAAATCGATTTCTGGCAAAGCTAATGAGAGTAAAGGAGAAAATTTCATTTTACTATATTTCGGTTTATTTTGGTAGACAGAATAACGTTTCATATAGCTTTATTCATACACTCTGCATAAAGCAGATCCTCTCTATTCTTTGTGTCACATGCACAACTTTGAATCACATGGGTACATATTGAGCACTGCTTTGTTCATGTCTGCATATTTGGCAGAGCAGGCCAGGCTATCTTCTTATGTAGGCTTGCCATCTCTTTAGGTTCACCCCAATTAGAAAACGGCTAGAAGGTAAAAATTCAATTTATAACCTCCTATAGTGAGACATGTGCAGATCTTCAGTAAGCATATTTTTCCATAGGTCTGTTGTTCAGATTTCTGAAGGAAAACACCTACGGAGTGAGTTGTGGAGAGATGTATCTATTTACTTGCTCTGGTTTTAGTTCACTGTTTTCTTAGAAGAACACATAATTCCCCCTAAGATACACAGAACAAACTTTGGCTTTCCAAAAGGACCTTGTTTGTAACATGAGGCATCACTCACTGTGTGGGTATTCTGCGTTAGGAGTGTGTCCTGATCAAATCAGCTGCAGTTTCTAGGAAACCATTTCTCAGTGATGGATAAAGGATGTTTACATCTCCATCTTTTATTCCTTTGAAGGGATGGGTTGAACATAGAACTAAAAATAAAAGGTAGAAATGTCCCACCATATCAAATAATTTACCTCCACTGAATGGGACGTCTAATAAAGGCATCTTCGCTGTACTCTTACTCTTTTGTGGCAAAGATTTTGAAGCTTCTTCAGAGACTTATGGTCCCATAGAAATGATCCCTTTCTAGCCAAAATAACATTAAATGTCCCAACCCTCAACTAGTAAGTATTTGTTTCACCTATGTTATATACCAAAATAAAACTAGAGCTTGAGTTTGAATATTTCTAGCTGTCCAGTGTTAGTGTTGACAAGTAAAGTCAGCAACATGTGACAACCTTGCAATTCGCCCCACCAGGTGTTTCAGGACCTTTTTGTGAGCACAGACCACACAGTGCTGTGTTGCGTGTGCCTCGCACAAAATTCACAATGGAATTTATAAGGCTGAAAATTGCAACTCAAAGAGAAGATGGTAAGAAAAAACATGTAACAATAGTCAACTCTTAAAAACCTCCTACAAACTACTGTAATACTTATGCAATTCAGTGAAAATCTGAGTACTTGACTTCCAGAGCAACTCCATATTTGACATGGGATAACAAGCTTGAGCCACAATTTTCATTTTAAAAGCACACAATTTAGGGCAAAGGTATTTAAACGTGACATATTTTCATTTCCTTCTAACTCTAGGAGATACTTAAACATGTTGATAATTTTTAGCTTAAATTATTTTTTTTACTACCTTTCAGAATTTATAATTATCCATATGTCTTCCAGCTTCTGCAATTGCAAATGTAGCAACTGACTACATTATCTTAAGTACAATAAGATTTTTTCACCTAACTGAAATGTAGAGCCATATTTGGACCCTACTGTAGATAACTTGGTTTGCAGACATATTGAGCAGCCACAAGCTAATAAAAAAAAAATATCACTGCAGCTATGAGTCATCATGGAATGTCAACTATAGGTCAAATTAGACATCAGGTTCTTTCATCATTTGCCGAAAGAAAGATTACCCTCCGCACGTTTTTCTTCAAGAACTTTCTCTTTCAGTTGTCACAACCAACTTCCCCCTAAGAGAATGATAGTTTATTACATTATAGTTGAACACAGTTGTTGAGATGTTAGCCCAATGTCCCTACTTAATATATTGCCTACCAGCAGGATGTCCTTTTAACATGAAAATAAAACCCATTCATGTATATAATTTCTGAGCAGCAAAAGGAAGAAACGGATTTTTTGGAATACGTCTTCACAGGGTTTTTTTTGATGAAGGACGTTAGCAAGATTTAGATTTTTATTTAGAACTTCTACGTCACTGAGGGTCTTCATATATAATTTTTAAAATAGTTCCATGACTATCTGGTCTAATTAAGAAACATTGAAAAAAGCTTTCATAAAAGTTAGCTAATATCACTGAAAGAATTCACACCAGAAGCAGACTATCTTTATAGAAAACTGCTAAAAATCTTTAACTTCTCTTCTGTAGACTGAGCTAAATTTTTGGTATGAAACACAGCTATTTTGTAGGTTTTTTTGTTATTTAAGTTATGCTTTTAACAGACCTTCCTATTTTCTAGAAAACGTAAATGTTGGAGTATTCATGGGGCCAGGGAGAAGAAAGCAGTAAAATTCAGCTTTGAGAGTTATGAAGAGAAATTCCATCCTGTAGAATTAAGAGGTCAAGAACTGACCTCTTAACCTTTCAGTTATTTCACAAGAACTGAAAGTCAAGGGCAAGGGAGGAAAAGACAACTTCATGTTCAGTTTTTATCTTCCTATTCCGCTCGTACTCCAGGAACTGTCCTAGGGACCACAGCAATGACTTTATCTGCACTGCACTATATGATGTGACTACTCTCCTAGCATAGTATTTAGCCCAAGAGAGGGTCTTCAGGAGGTTTCCAAAAGTCTGGCTCAGCATATTTAAATGGAGGATTTCAGAATGTAAGCCTGTCTCATTATTAAAGAAAAGCATTTGACCGTCTA